AGTCGCACGGTGCCATATCAAGTGAATACGGGGAGTGGTTGATTGTTAAATGTGATTTTTGGTCAAATAATCGGCCACAACCGTCGATCGATACGGCGCACCAAACACTTCAAAACTCCAAGGTAGAATACCGCATTAACGTTTTGGCCGGGTGGAACAAATTCTTTGGGGAGAATACCCTTGGAATCATAAGAACAAATCAGCGTTGTCTTCACTTTTGACTTCTCCAGGCGCGATTTTTTGGGTTTCGGCTCGTCCAGCGCCTTCCATTCAGCACTCTGGCGTTTCGTTTCGGGATCATATTGAAAACACCACGTTTCGTCACCAGTCACAATCTTGTAAAGGAAGTTCAGGTCTTTTTTTTTTGTCTCTTTAATGATGTCCTTCGAATGTTGAATTCTGAGCAATTTTTGGTCGTCAGTCAATCACCGCACCGATTCGCACCGATGACAAAAACATACTGCCACTTAAAACGCAATAACTTCACTTCCAATAGATTAAATGTCATGAAATTTTTACTGGGAGTCGATAAAGGATAGCAGACTCTAACGCAATAGTTGACATATAAATGGCGCCACTAGAGTTGACTTAGTTACTTTTTTACTGTTTACTTTGGAACGGACCTTGTATGTGTTTACAGGATTATTTACATATATGTATATATTAGAACAAAGTGGATGTACATATATGTATGTATGTTTTTGATTTTTTTTTATTTTGGCTATTTTCTCTCTTGCCTTTGCTTACTTATTTATAGCAATCCTGCTTATTGTTTTTGTAAAACATATATCTGGCGCTCAGGCCCGTAGACAAAAACGAATGTATGAGATGCGTGCGGAGTGGTGTTGAGACGACGTTGTGCGCGGGAGCTGTCGTATCGAATGAGATGAAAAAGCTACGCGGACCATCCTTTTTGTTAGCTGGTGATGTACACGCGCGGTGTTGTATTGTCCTGTGTGGTGTCATCTGGTATGGTGTATTGGTGAGTTTGTGGTGGGCTACAAATATAACTTATGACATTAGCGCCGCCGTATTTATAATCTCATTAATGAGTATAACTATTGTCATTCAACGCATCTTGAATAAAAGAAATAAAATTATAAGTTTTAAAATTATAAATAAGAGAAGTCAGGAGGCTTCTCAGAGTGGAATTAAGTCTAACGACGGCATGTACTGCACCACATCGCATGATCCGCTAATAAGTGACCCAAACCGCAGACTCAGCATATTTTGAGCTTGCTGGAATAAGCGGTATAGCCGGGCATCACAGCAAACTCGAGTTGATTTAAGAAAATAAAGAAAACAATTGTGTTTTTAATTCAGTGTTTGTTCCTGAAGATCCACAGTTATCGTTTCCGAATATATAACTCGTGTGAACTCTTAAAATGGTTCTCACAGTTAGAAAAGCAAGCAGCTTGTATACCAGACTAAGTGTCCTCACAAACGGAAGAGCAGAAAGCGTCTATACCAGTACAAGGGTCCTCACAGTAGAAAGAGCTTGACTTGCGTATGTCAGAGCAGGTGTCCTCACAGTTAGATCAAGAAACATGTGTACCAGTACAAGGGTTTTCACAGTCGGGGGAGCATGAAGTGTGTATACCAGCAAGTGGAAGAGCAGGAAAAAATTTAAGTTGAAACGGATGACTCTTTGCAAGAAGATCCAGAACTGCTGGGTGTATTGCATGCAGTGGAGTTGTACAAATGTACCACGAGTGGAGAAATAACTATCGGAAGGCAAGTCACAAAAGCATATTGGACAGAGCGGAGTAATTTAAAAGTGATGTGCGGCTGCTTTCATCGAGAATGGGCAAACCCCCAAGTTCTGATGATTTCTCCGAAAGCAAAAATTCGCTTAATGAGCTGCACAACAGTCCAAGTGGAGGACACATGGGTATCACTAAAACCTCGAAGAAATTTAAAGAAAGATTTTATTGGGTTGGTTGTCGTCAATCATTTACGGAGTGGATCGCCAATTATGTCGAGTGCATTGCTGCTAAAGGGCCGAGGTCCAGGGTCTTTGTCATTCGGATGCGCCGTTTGAGCAAATTGCAATGGATGTAGCTGGTCCATTTCCTATCATTAAGTTTGGAAACAAATGTTTTGGTGACCATGGACTATTTCAGCAAATGTTCAGAGACATACACATTTTCTAACCAAGAGGCAGAAAAAGTAGCGGATGTAATGGTGTTTCAAAAGAATTACATTCTGACCAAGAGAGAACTTTTGAATCAGCTCTAATTCTTCAAATGTGCCAGAAACTGGGTGTCTGGAAAACCCGTACAACTGCACTACATCCGCAGTCCGATGGCATGGTAGAACGATTCAATCGAACTTTGGAAGAACATTTAAGGAAAGTTGTGGACAAGTATCAAAAAGATTGGGATACCCATATATTCTTCTTCCTGATTTTTTATCGGTCTCCTGTACATAAAACAACGGCGAAAAAGGTAATTTTTAATTTAAATAATTGCAGCAAAGGTAATTTTCGGTAACGATCTTTGACTATCGATTGATTTCAAATTAGGAATTAACGCCAACTGGGGAAGGAATGCTAAGGAAGTCAACAGCATCATAGAAGACGAGATGAAAGATATACAGCTAGAGACACCGCTCCAAAATTATGAGCGATAAAATGTAGAAAATTTATTGAGAAATCCGTTACAATATTGGCTGTTGAGATGCAATTTCTTTCTTTTCTATAGCGAACTTTACATGTTAATGAGCTGTCAGTTTTCAACGCTTATTATTATTTAGGTATGCGCCACAGAAAATCTGTGGGCATGAGGAATTTTTGACAGTAAATTGCCGCCAGGGACGGCTGTTACATTTCGCTGGTTTAAATTAAGAGGCCTTGTCTTTATACACTTAATTTTTATGAAATAGTCTTAGGATTTATTTAGAAAACAAAACATGAACAGGAACGGAAAACAAAACAAAAATAGTCAAAGTCATTAGTTAAAGTCACAATTTTTCATGTTAAAACTGCTCTGAGTTTTGACGAGTTATAAAAAGGTACATTTGTTATAATTTATACTTAAAATAATAAAAATACTTTATTCCTCAATAATCCACTTGTTTTTGTTTAAAAATAGTAATTTTTTGACGTTTTTAGCCCTTAATGCTGCTCTCCTATCAGATATTAGCAATCTAGCTTGCCGAAACATTCTCTCCAACCCTGTCAAATTAAAATTAATTAACGTAATATTCGTTTATGTGCACTGTAGGGAGACTCATGCCTCTGAGTGTATGTACTTATGTATATATGTACATTTGAAACTCGATCTAAACAGAATGTTCTCATAATATGTTTCAATTTTATTCTCCAAAATCAGGAGTACTAAATAAAATTAAAATTACAATTTACAATATTATATAATAAATAATAACAACTATTTAGAATACGTTTTTTTTTCGATTTAATATTAATTTTACACTTATGTTTTTCACTTATATATCCACTAACACTTCACTAATTTGTTTTTACATTTTTATTTATTTTACATCATATAGTGTTTAAAATAGTTTAATTGAGTATTTAAATTATTGTTAAATTCTATTAATTCTGACAATAAAAAAGGGGTTGCAAAATGTCAAATAACCAGTGTTACCTTATCGACATCTTTTGTAATTTGAAATTTTCAAAATATTCATTAAACGTAAATATCTCGAAAACTATAAGTTTCCCGCGCTATATCTATATATATTCTTGATCTGGAGAATCTCCTCTATCCGCCCATACCCATTTTATCCCCGAAAGTCTGGAACGGTATACTAAAGCCGACCCCGAATGTGAAATTTATAAGTGTAAAACTCAATCAATCAAAAAAATGCGTACTTTAAATAGTTGAAATTTTCAAATTTAAGCGCAAATATCTCAAAAACTATAAGTTTCCCGCGGCTATATCTATATATATTCTAGAACTGCAGAACCTCTTTTATCCGCCCATTCCCATTTAATCCCTGAAATCATGGGACGCATTCTAAAGCCGATCCTATATATTAGATTTATTCAATAATTTCTATTGTTACGAACTCGGATGATAGAACATAATCGAACCTACCAAAATCTGCCAGAAGCAACTAGACAGCGAATGTTTCGTTAGTGTGGTTTTACACACAGACTCTTTTGACCCTCATTTTTGGCAAATTCTCTTTTGGTGTCGCTCTGTGCATTCACACGAGCAAGAAGAGTCCAGCAACTCGAATCGAGTTTTCTGTCATTCCTTTTCATAAAATTTTCGAAAATGTTTGTGCGGTTCGGCTGTGCGACACTTAGAGTGTGTTGCATAGTTAATTTGTATGTTGGGATGGTGGAACCACATTTTGCTTGTAATGACTTAGCATGAATGTGGTAGAACAATATGCGTAATACCTACCCGCTTAAAAGTTTCAAAGAAATACTTAAGACGGGCATTCCCTAATCCACCAGAATGTATTGAATACCCTCTACTAATATTTTCATGGTCAAATTTATAACAGGAATTTTCTAATCTTTAAGTATTAACACGAGTGGCACGGTCCCTTCGTCTTTCCTTGTCGTCCCCCTGCCTACAATAAACCGGTTTGGGTTACAAAAGAGTCTGTGTGTAAGAGCACACTTAAAGCATAAACCATTGATAGTCAAAATATACTGTGACGAACACGGATGATAGAACAAAATCGAATCAACAATAAACTGCCAGAAGCAACTAGTTAGCGAATTCGTAGTTGCCAGAACGTTCTAGAAGAAATGTTTTGTTACAGATTTACTATATAAGGGCTGCCGGACTGTGCAGCAAACACAGTTCTAGTTAGAGTGTTGTCGTGATAAGAGCAATTAAGCTATAAGCAAGAAGTTGTAAGCTCGAATAATGAGCAATAAGTGTTAAGTTGTTGGAATTAGAAATAAAGATAAGTGTGTAGCCATTAAATTGGGACTTTTATTTAACAATCCAGTGATCGAACTCAAGAGTGAGTTACAGGTTGACAATTTATCGAGAAATCCGTTACAATACTATCGATAGTCCGTTCGATTATTATGCAGCTCAATCTCAGGTATTTTGAATCACTAAATAGTGGAACAAAACGAACTTCGTGATAAAAGTTTTCGATAAATTGGTTAAAAAAGTCGTGACTTCAATAATAACAAATATTAATTATTACTTTTTTTTTTAAATAACTTTTAAAAGTCTGTATCGAAACTGATTTCCTTGCAATTCCATAAATTATGATTGTGCATGAGTGGAAGAGCTGCGAGTTTTTTGATCTTGTGGTACTTTCCAGTTGTTGTAAAGTTGACGTACAATCGGAAATAACTGCACATTGCGCCAATGGAAATATCTATATTTTCTGTGAAGTGTCGGGATTCATTCATGTTTACTTCAGAAACTCTTGGACAATTTGTTTTCGTTATCAATGCTCTGAGGTTCGATTCTGCGCTCTTACAACTAATAACGAATTTCTGGTGTTAGTAGCTGAAGACGAATCATCTGGGAAAATTCGTGTAGAAGTGTTAAACCTTGCAAAACTTAATAAGCGTGAAGGCGCTCCATGTGTGGCTTCAGCAGTTCTAAATCAGTATGGGCGCGTAACAACAATCCGAACATGCTTAATAAAAGAATATTTATGCATTTCTATTGGATTGGATAATGGAAATTTATTAATTCATCGATCGGTTATGAGTTCGGATATGTCGTCAAATTTCTTCTGCATTTCAACCGGCAATTGTAGCATATTAGGCATAGAATTTCTACATAAAAAAGAGTATCTATATTTATTTCTATGTTCGGAAGAAAAAGTTGGTTTCTATAATGTATTGGATAATGGTAGTACCGAAAAAAATTTGGAATATTTTTCAACTAATAGTTGCAGTTCAATTCTACATAATTCTGATAATTCATTTTTCTTGGTCGGTAGAGAGGATGCCCTTTATTGTTTTACCATAGATGGAAGAGGTCCTTGTTACGCCATTGGGGGCAAAAAAAAAATTATTGCTTGTCTAAATCAAAATATTATCATATTAATGGAATCTGAAGACAGTTGCCGTAGTTATATAACAATTATAGATATAATTAACAAGGCTATTGTTTTCCAAAAGAAAATTTCAAACTCAAACAAAGATATATTGGTATCCAATGAAATATCCTGCTATATATTAATGAGTAATACGATCTACATTACTAAGGAACGAAGCCTTCTTAACAAATTGTTGACGTTAATGAATAGTAATTTTTTTGACCTTGCTCTAAGCATTCTTTGTGAGAAAAAGAAAGCTTTTATTGGTTGTATTTTGTTGAATTTTGGTGATTACCTACTGTCTAAAGGTGACTTGATATCTGCTACATCCAAATACAAGGAAACAATAGGTTTGATAGATCCCTACTTCATCATAAAGAGGCTTTTAAATTCAAAGTATAGTTATCACTTATCGTATTACATAAATTATTCGGTAAATATTAATAAAGCTTCAAATTCTCAAATGGAACTTTTGAAAGGTTGTAATACAAGACACAACTTGTGTTTTAAGACTAGTATAGATGACGTCTCTTATGAAAGTGAATACTCCAAAAACTATTTAACTGATACAACAATGTCCACCTTGTCAGAATCCTATGAGAATGATTTGTATTATGCGATAACGAAACATCCTATGATAATTTCAAAACATTGGAGAAAAATTTTTACTTTGCTTAAGGTGTCTAAAAATCCTATACGTTATATATCACCTTTAATTAATACACAAGAAAATTGTATTGAATATTTAGAATATTTAATATCTGTCCATAATAAATCGGAAGTATTTGGCGTTCTCCTAGAATTACATTTGCTTGAATGGTACAGCGAAAGAAAAAATATTTCAGATATATTAAATTTTTTAGACAATAATTTTGAGGCATATTCGGAACAAATGTTAATAACTTTTGTAAATTACTCTTTCTGGCCTGGCGTTATTTTTTTGTGTGAAAATTTCAAAATGTTACAAATGCATTTTAGATACTCCATTAAGCATATTGATATAGATATACCCGTCAAATTGAGGAAAATAAGTGTTATGAATAAAAGTATTAGTTTGCAGACAATAGAAATAATGAAATATAGCTCGCAAATCGCAAAGGATCATTTAGATCGTATAACAAGAAAAATGCTTAATGAAAGTAAACAAAATATACTGCCACTAGTTCAAGGAATATCTGTAGCAAAAATGTTTAATGTAATTCACCTAAAGCAACTCTTTTGCAAAAGTAAATCAGACTACAAAATAAAATCATGTATCGATATTAAAGTTATGGTTAATTCTCTGCGGGCTTTTGTCGATTCCTTATCTAGTTTTAGAATGTGTCCCATTGAATTTAGAAAAAGTGTGTGCGCTATTTGTAAATGTAAGCTAAGTCTACCATCTATTTACTTTTTGTGTCAACACGCTTTCCATTTAGAATGTGTTGAACACAGTTTAAGCGATAAATTTTGTACTGTATGTTTAAACTCAGAAGAGTTGATCAATGAATCTAAAATCCAAATTATGGAACAAATTAAATGGTATATACCTAATACAATGACAATAGTTTCTATGTTATTTTCGAAGAATTTGTTAAATACTTCTAGGAAATAATTTTATATATATTTTTTTTTTTAAATAAAGAATTGATATAATTTGTTACTGTGATTATTTTAAAGTATTATGCAATAATTTTTAAGAGCCGTAGGTAAAGCTACTATATAGTGCTGCAAAAAACTAGTTAAGTACAAGAAGAAAAAGTTTCGAGCGTGAGGACTTTCGCATGACAGTCGGGTCTACATAACCGGAATGAACTTTTATTTGACCATGAACCGTCAGTTCTGCAGCATTCTTCAAAATTATTTCAGGAATAAGTTCTGCATTTAAGAATTCGCAAGTTCGAACAATATGATTATTTATTCCTGCATAAGACGCCACTTGTCGCCATATTTTCTGTCAAAATACGATAAACCGACGCTGCGGATATTGATAATTCCGATTCGCCATAACTTGTTTCATCATTTGCTGTGTTTTGGTAAAAGTCTTACCAATTTTAAAACAAAACTTAATGTTGGCTCTTTGTTTGATGATCATTTTCCGACCGACACTACAAATGTAATGTCACATATAGCGCGATATCTCAGCTGTTATACAAGTCAGCTATTATATAAATTTTACCGACAACACTGAAGAATACACAATTGAGGGATAACAATTTCAGACAAATGGTGCCACTAGAAGCCACGTTGTTTAAAAAGTCCTGGAACTTTGGAATTTTACCTTGTATATATATAACCCTATATCTAACTCGATTAGTTTTAGGTGATACAAACAACCGTTAGGTGAACAAAACTATTATACTCTGTAGCAACAGGTGGCGAGAGTATAAAAATATATACATAATATTAAGTTATAACTATTAGTGTTTATACCTAACTTTTATTAAAATAAAAACTGAATGAAACAAATTATCGAACAGCCATTCACCAAAAAATATATATCGTCGAATATATATATGCATATACCTTATATATATATACAGTATACAGTATTCGGTAATTATATTTTTTTAGTAAAAAAAAATCAAAAAATTTTTGGTTTAAAGACTTATTTTCGAAACTTTATTATTACTTTAAATAAAGTTTTAACGATGAATTAAAATATAAAAAAGCAAGACTTATTTTATACAAAAATATGAATTTAAAAAAGGTGCCAACACTTCAAGCTCTTAAGCTGTAATTTTTTAGCTGTGTACATTTGTATTTTTATTTTAAAAAATTCTTGAAGTTTAATTGATTGTTATTACGGTGTTAATACAAATTTTTAGTGATTAAACTCTCAGTTTCATGATAAGTATTAAATGTTCTGTTTTGTGCGGTATTAAAAAGTATTAAAAAGTTTAAACTTTCCAATTTTTGGTGCCGAGTCAGCCTTTTGTTTCATTTTGTTTTATTTTGTTCTATTTTCTCACTTTGTTTATCTTATTTACTTCTTTATTTACAGCTGTGTTGCGTTTAGCTTTTTATTTGTTACAGTGCTTCTTAAACTGCTCGCTATATTGCTTGTCTTGGTTTAAAACTTTGATAAAAAAAATTGTTCTTAATTGAATTTATTATTATTAATATATTATTAACACACTAATTTATTATTTATCTATTAAATTTTGTTCTGCCTACTCTTTTATTTGATCTTCATTCTTGTGGTTTATTATGTCTTGTAACTTTCCCAATGGTAACATTAAAGGCGAGTCAGATCGCTACGTTTCACGCTGGCTTTGTGATGGGCTTGCCCATATTAAATGTGCTGGACTGACTGGTAGAATCTTAGATTCTATTATCGACTGTAAGGGATTGCGTTGGTCCTGTTTAAATTGTAGATCTATTGAAATCGATCTATTTAAAGTTTATAGGGAGACACGCAATGGCTTTAACGAAATCGGTCGTGATCTTGTAACCCTCACTGAAAAATTTAGGCACTATGAAAAATTGTTCAAATCTTTTAAGTGCCTGAATGATTCTCACGAATCCTCTAAACCTGCTCCTAAGCGTAAACGTCCTTCCGATGAAGTAACACTTAGTTCTTCTGTTCAGAAAAGAACGTCTCCTCCCAATGACCTAATAAATCTCTCTTCTCCTTGCCCTCAAGGTGATAAGCCGTCAACTTCCAAAGAGCTCAATTCCCCAAAAGCTCTATCTAATAGTAATAAGTGTCTCACAATTCCAGAGGCTCCCCCTATTAACTTAGTAGCATCAGTTAATAACTTGATAGTTATTCCACCTAAAAAGTCTATATTTATTTCGAGACTTGCCAAAGATACCTTGGTGGAGGACATTAAATCTTACATTTCGTCACGTTTAAAAATCGATGATATCAATATACATAAATTTAACTTCAATTATGATAGAAGTATAACATCGTTTAAAATAGACGTATCTAGTGAAACATTCAAAAAGATGTTAGATAGTTCATTCTGGCCACCTGGGGCTTTTGTACGCGAATTTAAACATAAACTTAGAAGTCAAACTGAGGAAAACAGTGTTAAATTACCAAAAGCAACCACCGATATAAAAAACTGATTGGTAGAAATTCGCTAAGCATTTATTATCAAAATGTTAGAGGTCTTAATACAAAATTAACTGACTTGTATTTGAACAGTTCCAATTTTAATTTCCATATAATTGGATTTACAGAAACTTGGTTAAAACCTCACATTTTTGATAATGAGATTTTGAACAGCCAATTTCAAATTTTTAGATGTGATCGACTGAACAGAATCGGTGAAGGTGTTCTATTTGCCGTGCATTCCTCTATCCCATCTGACAATATTCTTGTTCCAGGGACCGACTCATTTGAATTTAAATGTATTAGAGTATACGTTAATAGTTGCTTTATTTATTTAACCCTATCTTATATACCACCCCATTCGGACTTATCTGTATACATGCAGCATGCTTCTTTAATAAATAGTGCTACCTCGATGGCAAATAATGCAGATTCAATAATTGTATTAGGTGATTTCAATTTACCGTGTGCTTCGTGGAAACCTTTCGATGACTATATCGTGCCGATTTGTAATCGGTCATGTTTTAATGAGTTTTTCGAAAAAATGTCCGAGTTGGGTCTGAACCAAATTAATTTGATTCCGAATAAATTTGGTAAATGCTTAGATTTAGTACACGTTGATACCTCTGCAAAGTGTTCCGTTATTCAGAGTAATCCTCTTGTTCTACCAGAGGACTCATACCATCCTGCTTTGGAAATATCTGTCGAAATCTCAGGCATTGTACGGGATAATAATCATCAAACTTCGTGCTTCTGTACTCGGTTTAACTTTGCAAAAGCTAATTTAAAAAAATTAAATACAGAACTTTCTACAATAACATGGCCTAATTATAATGGTGACATTGAATTGAGTGTCTCTCATTTTAATAACATTATTATGAAATTATTTGAAAAGTATGTTCCAATAGTAATTGTTAACAAAAACAAAAGTATAAGTCCGTGGTTTTCGAAAGAGTTATATAAATTGAAAAACAGAAAAACTCGAGCCTTTAAACATTTTAAAAAAACCGGTTCACTTGTCAACTATTCTAAATATTCGCTATTGCGTCGACAATATAATATACGATAAATTGTGTAAAATATGGGAAGAGAATCAATAAAAACCATATTCGAAGAAAGAAAAATAATATTTAATTTTCGAAAGTAAAAACGTTGCAAGAGATATCAAAATTTACCACAGCATTTTGCAGAGCCTGAAAAACTTCAAAGTCGGGAGAAAAATTAAAGAAAATCCACGTGCTTCAACTTCGAAAATTAATCAAAGCCTCATTTAGTATGCTAGAATAAGTGTCAACGATGAAACTGTACACAGAACGCTTAGAGCTGCTGGTTATAATGTGCGAACTCTACGAGTGAAACCGCTTATAAATGAAAATAATATAAAGAAGCATATGGAATTCGAAAAAACGTACGTAAATCGTGGTATCAAGTTTGGTCGAAAATAATATTTTAATGACGAAACGAAGTTCAACATATTTAGACCTGATTATGGCAACAAAGTTTGGCGAAAAGTGAATTCCAAAAGGAAAAACACAATATGTTCGGTTAAGGACGGGGATGGAAATATACTGCTGTGGAACTGTATGTGTGTCAGAAACATGCAGTTTATTAATGATAAAATGGTTCACCGGCAATATAAAAAAATTAAAAGATAATTTAAAAATTAGCGCAGATAAATTCGGATTTTCCAGGCGTTACATATTCAACATGGCAACGGCTCGAAACATACAGTTTTAGGAACGCCCCCTCAGTCCCCGGATCTCAATCCAATTAAGCACTTGTGGGCAAATTTGGGACTTGCTATCGGCATGCATTCAAAAACATAATCAATGATAGGGGAGAAATCTCTGCGGAGCGAACAAAAAAATTTGGTTTTTCAATGGCAAATAGATCAAAGGAAGTTATAATGATGAATAGATTCGCTACCAGATATTATTTAAAAATAAAATTAATTTTAGTTTATATATACAATTTTTTTACGAATACTTTTTTGATATAAATACACCGAATTTTTCGTTTAGAGAAGTGAGCATCCACTCCGATAGTAGGGCGGCAATACTAGCTCTGAGTGCGCGAACTGTGCAATCAAAGTTAGTCAAGCAGTGTCTGTCCTCACTAGAAATATAATCTGTCTACTTCAATATCAGGCTCGTTTGGGTGCCTGGTCACAGCGGAATCGCTGGAAACTGCAAAGCCGATTAGCTAGCCAGGGGGGCACCCTTGCCCCGCTCACATCGGAATGGGATCGAGACCGCGAAATCCTTCTGGTCAAGAGTGGATCGCAGGAAGTCGGGGGAACTTCTCGCCCTGAGCAAAGTGCATCTGGCAGCTATGGTAGGAGTTCTCACTGGACACTGTCCAATGGACACTCATCGGTACGGCTTAGAGTACTACCCGATGCTAGTTGCCAAAGTTGTATGGAGGACAGCATTTTGTCGACTTGTCAGGGTCTTTTGATCCAGATCATAGGAGTTTTTAGGTATCGCAACTGACCGGCGTTTTAAGCCGTCCAAGTGACTTGGGATCGACCTCCTAAGATAACCTAACCTAACACCGAATTTTTCAGTTGAAGAATTTTTACCTATCTTCTTTTAAAATTTAATTTT